GGAGGCGCCTGTTTCCAGCTGTCAGACGCTGGAGGCGCCTGTTTCCAACTGTCAAACGCTGGAGTCGCCTGTTTCCAGTGATTGTCTACATGGTTGCTGTGGCGCTCAACAAAGTCGTGTTTTTTTTTTCCTCAGAGGATGCTGCTTGCAGACAAACGAGATTTAGTTTCTCGCTGGTTTTAAATTTATTCTAACTTTAGTTTGAGCAGCTCATCTTTAGAGACCGCCAGGGGCCTCATGTACGAACAGACTACAGAAGGCGCTTGTAAAGATGTAGAGACAAAACTAAAAATTTGAGATTCAACAGAACACCAGGATATGACCGAGGACAAAAAAAAAGAAACTTATGTATTTACATTTTTACAAGAAGTCTAATTCTTGTAAATTCTTCTTCTGCTGCTGGTTCTATGCATCATGTTCTTTGTAGCAGCATGTGTTCAGGATGGGAGTGCATCTCATTGTGGAAACAGGAGCGGCACAATTTAACATCAACGCCTGATTTGTTCAATAAAAACACGATTCACACGTGTCTGATGAGTTGTGTCACAACGTGGCGGCTTCCAGAGGCGGAGGAGACGATGTAAGCAGCTCAAGCTAAGCTGTGGACCAGGGTGGACTGATCAAGTTTTAATGAGTCGTCTGAAACTGAGGCTCAGCAGATGCAGAACCTCATTCTGATATTTGTACACCAACACTGCACTGCAGTGAAGACGACATATTTTGTTTTTATCATGCGCCCGTCAAAAGTCAGGAGTTTTATGAAATAGTCTCTATCTGTACCTAAACGTTCTCTTGTCCAGGCCTAACCTTTGATCCACTCAAGATAACTTCATGGAGTCTATTACACGTTGCTAGACTGAGTGTCACACTTTTCATCACCCCAGCTCCAAGGTCAAGGTCACAAATCAAGGTCAAAGGTTCTACAAGGTCTTTGCTTGTCCAGGCCTTTGCTATAGATTGTTGTATGAGAGTGTGTCGACAGGCGTGGATTGTGTCGTATACCTCATGGTCCACTTTGCCACGTTTTACAGAGCTGATGAATGTTTATGAGGACTTTATAAATGTTCTATATTTCTATAGTATGACCTAAAACATCGTCAGATTTTCACACAAGTCCTAAAAAAGATGTAAAAAGATCTGAAGCTCTTGACCTTGACCTCTCCATGTGTCTTCAAACATCTGTTAAGTTCCTGGAAACACCAACACAGACATGTTCCTGTTTTGAGTTTTCTGCACCGCCTTGTAAACTAGCTTGGGGGGGGGGTTCGCTACTTTTCCTTTTGACTGTCCTTTTGGTTGCCATTTGATTTGAACTTGTTAAAAAAATTATTTGTACGTCTCTTTTATAACTGTCTATTGTTGTCATCACTCTTTGTTAAACCAGGTCTCTCTTGTAAACGAGTCCTCGAGGCTCAATGGGACTAACCTGCAGAAATAAAGGTTGAATGAAAAAGTAGATAAAGAGAACCCAGTTAGTTTTTCATTCAACCTTTATTTATACTGGTTAGTTCCCAGTGAGCCTCCAGGACTCATTTACAAGAGAGACCTGTTACAAACATCCAGTTCAACAAATGAGATTAAGATATTAAACTTGGTCATTTATTTATTGAGGACAATGATCCAGTATCATCCATCAGTGGTAAAAGTATGTGAACCTTTGCTTCAGTCCCTGGTGTGACCCCCCCCCCCCCCCCCCCCCTAACTTCAAACATTTCTGGTAACTCTTGATGAGTCCTGCTCACCTTGGAGGAACTTTGAGCTCATTCCTCCGTACAGAACATCTTCACCTCTGGATGTTGGTTGTTTCCTCACATTAACTGCAGCTTCAGGTCCTTCCACAACATCTGGACTGGATGAAGGTCAGAACTTGGACTTGACCATTCCACAACATGAACTTTATTCTTCTTGAACCATTCTTTGCTAGAACATCTTGTGTGCTGAGGGTCATTGTGTCACTGCATGACCCATCTTCTCTGAGATTCACTTCATGGACAGATGTTCTGACTTTTTCCTTCAGAATTCTCTGATATAATCCAGAATTCATTGTTCCATCAATGATGGCGAGCCGTCCTGGTCCAGATGCAGCAGAACAGGCCCAGACCATGATACTACCACCACCATGTTCCACAGATGGGATCAAGTTCTTCTGCAGGAATGCTGTTGTCCTTTCTCCAAACAGAACTCTTTTCATTTAAACCAAAAAGTTAAATTTTGGTCTCATCGTCCACAGAACATTCTTCCAACGGTCTTGGAAACCTCCAGCAGAACCAGAACCGGGCTCAGGAAGGGCAGACAACTGTCTGGAGTTTGAAAAGACAAAATGGACAAAGACAGAATGGATGTCCAGGTTTAGTTTATATCAAGAAAACTGTACTTCACTGTTTAAACCATAAACATGTGACTTCTGAAGAACAAACACAAGTTTGACGTGTTTCCTGAGTGTTGTATGTTCTGTTGACCCTCCAGGTGTTCTGTACATTGTTTGGCTGCCTTCAGGGGTCTCCTCATGTCCAGGTAGGCCTTTCAGCATGGAGTGTGACTCTAACTCCGGTAGTTTGCAGTGAATACCGTCTTTAATGAAAGAACGCGTATCGCTCATTGATTTGCACGCCATCGTTCACGCTCTGAGTGCAGGTTGTAAATGATGCTCAGCTACTACCACAGCTAACTTTAGCTCTGAATCTATAAAACTCACATGTTGTCAGGTTTGTGTTCACAAAAGTCTCCAAAATGTTTCAGAATGTTTGCAGTGGTTCTCAAATCCTGTCTTTTTTAATCTTGGGTTATTTTGAAATCAAAATTCAGGTGAAAACAGCTGAAAGGCTAAACGAGCAGAACCGAAGATAAAAGCTGAAGTCCACAAAACGATGCAGAAAGTTTAAAACGATTTCAAGAGTTCTCCATCTCAGTGAAGAAAACGGTTCTAATAAAGTAAGATATTTAAAAAACATGTGTAAATCTTACAAAAAACAAAGTCGTAGCCGTTTGGTCCTGAACAATGGAACATTTTCATGTATGTCATGTATGTCATGTATGACGTCATACATGACTGTAGGAAAAGACTGAGAGCTGAAGTAGTTACAGTTTAAAATAGGTAGAGAAGAAACAGATCAGAGCCACACTCAATGACACCGTCAACACAACCGAGACACCTGCTGCACACCTGTTGCACACCTGCTGCACACCTGTTGCACACCTGCTGCACACCTGCTGCACACCTGTTGCACACCTGCTGCACACCTGTTGCACACCTGCTGCACACCTGTTGCACATCTGCTGCACACCTGCTGCACATATGTTGCACATATGTTGTACATCTATTGCACATCTGTTGCACACTTGCTGCACATCTATTGCACATCTGTTGCACATCGGTTGCACATATGTTGTACATCTGCTGCACACCTGTTGCACACCTGCTGCACATCTGTTGCACATATGTTGCACATATGTTGTACATCTATTGCACATCTGTTGCACACTTGCTGCACACCTGCTGCACATCTATTGCACATCTATTGCACATATGTTGCACATATGTTGTACATCTATTGCACATCTATTGCACACATGCTGCACACCTGCTGCACATCTGTTGCACATATGTTGTACATCTGCTGCACACCTGTTGCACATCTATAGCACATCTATTGCACATCTGTTGCACATATGTTGCACATATGTTGTACATCTATTGCACATCTATTGCACACATGCTGCACACCTGCTGCACATATGTTGCACATATGTTGTACATCTGCTGCACACCTGTTGCACACCTGCTGCACATCTGCTGCACATCTGTTGCACATATGTTGTACATCTATTGCACATCTGTTGCACACTTGCTGCACACATGCTGCACATCTGTTGCACATGTTGTACATCTGCTGCACACCTGTTGCACATCTGCTGCACATCTATGCGGGATACAACCATAAACAGAAATCTGAGTCCAGGTCCAGGTTCAGCAGAGACCAGCAGCACGTTCAGCCTGGTGTTGACCTGCATCTTGTTCTGGTGGGTCGGTTCGTGTGGGACCATCTGTGGGTCAGCTGAAGATGCTGCTGCTGTCAGAGACGCCACTCACATCTCCCTCATGGAGGTTACTGTGTGTGTGTGTGTGTCCTTGTTTATGCTACTTTGTGAGGCCCATTTTTCCAACTTATACTACATTGTGAGGACCAACTGCTCCTTATGGGGCCCAAAGCCCGGGCCCCATAAGAAGAAGTCCCGTTGGTGGGTTAGGGGCTAGGTTTAGGACTAAGGTGTGAATTGAGGATGTGTTAGGTTTAGGGTTAGGTATGTACTGGTAATGGTTAGGTTATGGATAAAGGTCATGGTTAGGCTATAG